TAACTAAACAATAAAAAAGGCATTTTTGCTCGTTACAATAAATATGTATTTGATAGATCTTGTGACTTTTTTTCTCTTCAGCGATCTGCAACAGTTAAGAGTCTTCTTTCGGTTGTCGTTGCGTCCAGCCAGGGCATTGGCGATTTCAATGATATTCGGCTCCTCTGTTTCCTCTTRTGGCAATTTAGTAGTGTGAGATTGCTGAATCATTGCGTAGCCAGGTTTTTTAGACGTCTGCTTCTCAAAATGATCGTTCACATGAAGCACTGTCGTTGGATTGTCTGCCAACAGCTTACATAGGGTCACCGCCTCACTAACTAAATTTTTTTCTGCTTTGGATAGTTTCTGCAGAAAGAATGCAATCAAAATATTCCACCTTKCCCTTAAGTATCTGAYGCAGGACTTGAAGTTTACTCTTTAGCGTTTACAACTGGATGTCGTCACATATACCTTCAGTATAGTCGAGCTCTGATCATCGATTTTTTTGTATTTTATATTTTATTCTTATCGATTTCATTAATTATTAATTTTTCGGAAGCAAAAAGTGGGGGACCTCAGTCCCCCAAGCCCCCACATCTCCGCTGCCCCTGTTCTGTTATGTGTGACTACGGCCAACGATAATTTAGTTTAACTTCGGACAACTTCAAATTAAATTTCACTTAAAATAGTTAATAGCCTTTTAACATTCAATGTTGAAGCAGTTTCAGAGGTGAAAGAATGATACTGGTACTTAAGGTGGAATATAAAARCTAATCTGGACATCCGCATTCGTGTGTTCGTCTTCACTTAGTTAATGGTTCGACTTTGATAAATTCAATTTCTCTTGAGTTGTTTGTAGTAAAAGTCTACAAGGAATCACCATGTATGTGTATTTGAAGATAATTTACAAGTATTTCTATCAATTCAGATAATAAATGAACATCATTTCAGTAGTGATGACACAACGTAATAAGCCGCCATTTTGGTAATTTTTTTCGCTTGATCGGACTCTCGATACGAATAAAGTAACAAAACATGCATTTAAACTTTTATCMCAATAAGGATGTTTGCTTCTTTTCTGGACTATAAGATAACMAATTCAATATAGGYCGTGACCGGTTTACGAATCATTTGTTTGTTGCACGTGCACGGGTTGCTATGGGAAGGTACAATCTGTGTACCC